CATGATGACATGATAACATGACATGATGGCATGATATAATACATGATGACATGATATAATACATGATGACATGATATAATACGTGATGACATGATATAATACATGAGGACATGATATAATACGTGATGACATGATATAATACGTGATGACATTATATAATACATGAGGACATGATATAATACGTGATGACATGATATAATACGTGATGACATTATATAATACATGAGGACATGATATAATACGTGATGACATGATATAATACGTGATGACATGATATAATACATGAGGACATGATATAATACGTGATGACATGATATAATACGTGATGACATGATATAATACATGAGGACATGATATAATACGTGATGATAAGACTTCCACTTAACGAGTGCGCGAGAAACGCGACGGCGGCGACTACAAATACGCACCATGTCGACAGAAGCCGCGGTCGTACCACGGACAATCTTTGATCTTCGATTCGGGGTCTATGTGCAGAAACGGACACTCCTTGTTACTGCAAGCACCTGAAATGCACCAAAAAAACATTTATCACTAAACAAAAAATTTTCTAAACGAAATCTAGAACTCTGATCACTAACGTTATCAGTAAACGATGTGGCATGAGGTTTCAAGTCACACGTTGCCGATGGCGACCAGGTCACGTGGCTGCGACAACGTTTTCTTTCGTTTGCTTTTTAACCGCCCACGTGGAAAAAGAAGTGTTTCCGAAAATAGTGGCATGTGTGGCCAGTTGCGATGACAATGGGAAATATGCGACGATGGAAGAGAGCGGGTTAAGAAGGTACGGCAAACCCTAACATCATGTGGCGAGGATGGGGGAGGCTAAATCTAAGCCGCTTCATGTTCGACACACCAGAGCGTCTCACGCCTACGTTAGAATCTACTCACACACGTCCATATCATCATTGGCATCATCATGATCATCGTCATCACTACCCCATCGCTGTCAACATGCCAAGTTCTGTTAACATGACCACTGATCCTACACTGAACCCAACACCATGATCCTAATCCTATTTAGGTATCATATGTACAGAAATCCTAAGTTAGGGATAGGGTCATGACTTTAGGTAATGGATCTAGGGTCATGACTATGCATAAAGGATAGAGTTAAGGATGAGGTTATGATTAGAGGTAAGGCATAGAGTTAGAAATAGGATCATGATTAGGGGCAAGGGATACGGTTAGGATGAAGGTTACAATAATGGGACAGGGATAGGATCACAATTAGAAGCAAGGGATTGGGTTAGGAATATGGTCATGACCCACCCTGTCCTGCCCTGCCCCACCCCAACCCAGTATGACCCTACACGACCCCACCCCACCTCAACCCAATATGCCCCCGCCCCAACCTACTCCAACCCAACACCCACCGCTT